GGAATATGTTTTCCAATTCAACTCTGATATACTGTTATCAAAAGTTAGGGGTTTTTTTTGTCGTGTCAGGAGCAAGTTGCTTCTGGTGTGAGAGAATTGGCCGTCTGCAAGGACATTGCCCAGGGGACGCCTGGACGATTTGATGTTTTTATCATCCTTGTGGGAGGCTTCTCTCATGTCCCTGTATGAAGAGCTGGAGCTGATAGAGGGAGCTCATCCGCCTCTCCCCAGATTTGAACCTGCGACCTGTCGGTCTTCAGTCCTGCTGGCACAGGGGTTTAACCCATGCGCCACCGGGGGCTCCTAAAAGTTAGGTGATATAGTGATGTTCAGTCATATCTGTGGTTTCAAGAAACTGCAGTCCAGCCAAAAACCTAGCCCCTACTCTTACAGATTTTATAATGTCTTTTTGATTCCAGAGTAGGGGGTGCTGAACCTGAACTTCAGTTTATATTCTTAAATCTGTAATGGTCTCTTGTCCAGTAGGGGGAGCCAATTTATTGCTTTTCTATGAACTGGTAAGGTTTTATTACAGTATATGCCAGGGGTCCTCAAACTTTTTAAATAAAGGGCCAGGTCACAGTCCCTCAAACTGTGGGAGGGCCAGATTATAATTTGAAAAAAGCATGAATGAATTCCTATGGACACTGCACATATCTTATTTGTAGTGCAAAAAATACTTTAAAACAATACAATAATTAAAATGAAGAACAATTTAAACAAATATAAACTTACTAGTATTTCAGTGGGAAGTGTGGGCCTGCTTTTGGCTGATGAGATAGGATTGTTGTTGTTGTTGTTGTTGTTGTGTGCTTTCAAGTCGTTTCAGACTTAGGTTGACCTTGAGCGAGAGCCGGGTAAATGACCTTGGAGGGCCGTTTCTGGCCCCTGGGACTTAGTTTGAGGACCCCTGGTATATGCCATCTGATGATGCATTTCTGTTCAGTTTGTTTGCCATAATGTTATTTAAAATATTTTAAAAGAAGAAATAATTGTTGCTGCTTAAGCTGAAACTTCTCTTTTTTAAAACTGTAAACCTTTTCCCATAGGAGAAAGGCTCCAGGTTGGCAGGGGTGTTTAGGGACTATTATTTCAACTTCACAAGTCATTTTACCATTACAGAGGGCAGCCAAAGCCATCAGAAAACACTCAAGCTCCATGAGATGTAACCATTCAAATAGCAATTCATAATGCAAGCGCCTTATTCCATTACTTTGTTTCCTGTAGTTTATAGTCAAATCTCTGCAAAAATCAACAAACAGGATATGAAGACATAGGCATCTCATTCGTTCCCTTAGTAATTGGTAATAAGAGACATATTGCCCCTGAGCTGAATGTTTCCTGCAGTCAACTTGTCCAAGTTACATTAATAGTTATCTCTAATTTGTATTATCACAAAACATGTTTAGTAGATACACATAACAGAGCTTTCTCTTCAGTTTACCTCCTTGAGGTGGTTATTGGGATAGTATTAAAAAGCCCAACGATTCTGTGGGAGTTAAGGCATACATACTGGGGAATTTTTTTGATATCACTTTGAGACTTTTGGCTGTAATGACAACAAGTTGTCACTTTGTAGCTGTAATGACAACAGATGAAGTCTATTTCAATAGATCATTGGCGTAATATACGTTGCAAGGTATACTCATTACTTGGAGTTCATAATTGAGTGGGGGGATGGAGCTGCGGAAGTGTGTAAAATTATTATTTTTTGCAGGTAACTTCATTGACATGGCCAGACTACAAAATTAAGATGGTCTGCTTCAGAGATCTACAGAATCACATAATCAATGCTCTTCGAGTTTTCAGTTAACATGTTACACGATTCTTGTTGAGATTAAACAAACACGTTGGTCTTTTGCTTCCAAGTATTCTCTCTTGTTCTGTTGAGTCTAGCCAGCTCCTAAGTTTACAAGATAACATAGGCTATAAAATGAGCAAGATGTTGATTAGAACACAGATAGTAGAAATGTAATAGTAGTTACGATGAACACAAGTGAAAGCTCATTACTTTGTTGGGCCTATTTTAAGATACTGTTAGGGTAAAACATTTACTGGTATACTTCTATCTCAGTTGCACACTTTTTATCGTTGCAAATGGATTACTGAAACCAAATTTTGCTAGGGATTTAATAGGGCTCACAGAAGTCTGCTGCGACATATTTCCAGTCACTTGTCTCTCATATCAGTAGTGAGCTCATTTCCATTGTTTACAATTCCTTTGGAAGTGTAAAGAACAGTATTTAGTTGAGAGTGTAGATCAGATTTGATTAGTGTCGCTTGTTGGACAAAATACTTAGGGGAATATGTCCAGCCACCTGCATCCTTCAGCGTTGCCCATGTTGTCTATTTCCTGGGATGGGTTGGCAGTTCAGTAAGTGAATCTAGGAGAGCTCTTCCTTCCAGAGAGGAATTGCTCAATGTAATCATAAAAATGCAGTTCTTCAATAATTTCTTAAGAGATCTTCTCTCTATAGCAGAATTACCTGTTACTGGTTTTAGCTGTCAGCAGCCTGGGATTTTGATGACATGGGGATTTGATGACACTTGGATGCTACTATGAGTTAGATAGCTTGATCAATTTATTGAATCAGTCTATGGATCATTTAAGACAACTGCAATACAATTATAAACACTACAGTATGGTTTCAATAAAAACATTGCTATGTCACATTATGGTAAAGTTATAGTGGACCAAATTAAAAGCATGCCACTCAGTAAGCTAAAGTCTTGCCCCTTCTTTTTTCTTAAGTAGGTAGTCTTGGATACAGCTTCAGATCTAAGAGCATAGGCTGGACAAGTTGGAGGCACTTCCAAAATTTTATGCAAAAAAATAGTTTTGGACCCTTTCAAATTTCTTGGAATCAGAAAAAAAATCTCTGAGCCATGTGTCAAGACTGGCTATCCTTTTACCTTATACACATTAAGTATCTGTAAAAGAGTTGTTGAGTAGCTATAATTCAAAAAGACTGTTTAGAAACTGAGAATAGGTAATTTGTCTTAGCTCATTTTTTTATTTGCAGGAACATGTACATTAGAACACTAGCCCAAGATACCTCATGTAATCCACTAGTTCAATTTCACTATCATCAAGAAACCAACTATAGTTTTCTTATTGTTAATTTCGAAATCATTTTCCTACAATATGAGCTCAATTTCTTTAGTAACCTTTACAAACTAACTTGTGTAGTAGATGATAATACTGTGTCAACTTCATGTAGCATAAGGTAGGGTTAACACTCCTGTGGTGCCTATTTTGCTGTCTGTGTCCCTGTTCAGAAGAATTCACCTTAGTTTCTGTCCCTGTAATAATTGGATTTTGAAAAATGAGGCTTGTTGTGGACACAAGGATTGGTGATAAAGCTTCAGTGGAGGCAATTTTTCCCCATGTTAATTCTTTCAGGAGTGAATTTCCCTTCCGATGGGTAGATTTCTCTCACTTCCTGTTGTCTCACCCCAATTTGTAACTATGAGTCATTTCTAAGTTGGATCTTTGTCACCCAGGGGTCTGCCTGTACCCTCATTTGTCTTCCCAGACACTTTCTCATTATTTTGCAGTCTGCATTAAACCAGGCTGATTTTATATTCCTGGGGCTGGTATAACTGGCTTTAGTTGACAACCAGGATTTGATTTGAAGACATGTTGTCTGAAATGCAAATATAACAGAACTTGATATTTGCATCTTGATCACAAATCACACTTTCAATATTTTACCCTCACATGTCTGGGAACTGTGTGTGCAACTTGCTGTATACAGCTGCACTCATTTGAAGTAACAGATATATAGATCTTGGAGACCCATGGCTATGGCTGGCTGTGCATTTCCTTGTCTCCTTTAACTTGGGCTACTGCATTTAATATGTTGTCCTTGAAAATGGTTTAGCTCATGTAGAATGAAGCTGTAGGAACTTGTGTAGCTGGATGGAATCATATCACACAGTTCTGAAGGTTTTCTCATACTGTTTCTGTGATTGCAGTTTCCGTCTCTTTGTGTTTTTGCATATGTGTAGTTTAAAATGATATTATGTACTGTACTATGTATCATATTAGGAACCTTATATAACATTTTACAATCCTGTAGTATTCATAAAAATGAAGAATGTTTTCTAAAATCTTTTAATAGATAAATATGTGTCCAATCAGTTGCATTGGTTGATTATGAATTCTAGTTATGTGTGAGGGAGAAAAACCTAAACACTTTGTTACTTACATTATCTATAGAAGCTATCTATAGAATTAAATCTGTACAAAACATTGTTTTAAAACTGTAGATTAAAATGACTAAATATAAAATCTGTTGAAACTATGAATTCCTGAATGCCTGCTAAAGTCGGAAAGCATTTCACTTGTCAACAAAAGGATAGCAAGAAGGGAGCCTTCTAACCCCTCTAGGAAAAGACTTAAAAGCATTATTCCCTCCAATTTCTCCACTCAATTCATAGTTATGGAAATCTCTTAAAAATTGTTCATCAGCCCTGGTTATATTTATGGCAGATTTTTGCATATTTTCTTGCTGTAAAATATCTTATGAACCTGAATTTGCCACCCAAGTAGTTCTTAATTCTTAAATGAGACTGTAACCAACCCCTGAAAAATAAGCAGTGATGGTTGACTTTTAGTAGATTTCTCATTTTTGAATAAAATTTTCTGACACATATCCTGGGAGAAAGGCAAGATATGTCATATCTCTCAGAAATCATGTAGAACTTCATAGTTACTAACATGAGAGAACCAGGTAAGAACCCTAGTTATGTGACTGAACATAGGCTCTATATCTATAATTCTAGGTTCAGGTATCAACTAGAAGGATAGACCCTGAAAAGCCACTGCCAATCCAAGTAGATGCTTTTGGTCTACAAGAACAAATGGCTGATTTATAAATAGCAATGTAAATTGTTTATAAAGGCATTTATAATATTATCTTTATTGGTATTATTCATCAAGCATGTATCATTGTTAACTTTCTTATGTTATGTTATGTTAACTTTCTTCATTCCAGTGACTTCTTTGAACGAACCATTCTGTGTAACAGCCTTGTATGGAGCTGTGCTGTTACAGGTAAACCAGGACTCACCTATCAAGAAGCACTAGAATCAGAAAAGAAAGCCAGACAAAATCTCCAAAACTTTCCAGCTCCACTTATTGTTCCAGTCCTGTACTTAGTTACCCGTACTCAATCTGCACGACTTCATGAAGTATGTGATGACATCTTTGCTTATGTTGAGGACCGTTATTTTGTTGGTGAAATTGTTGAAGTGCTTCGGAATAATGGTGAAAGGTAAGGTTGTTTGTTATATGCTATTTTTGTTACTTATATTTATGACTATAAAGCCCTACATCTCTCAGGTCCAGGCTATTTGGCAGATTATATCTTCCTGTATGAATGGGCCAGGATTTTGAGATCATCAAGACAGACCCTTCACTCAGTCCCACCACCATCACAAACATGGTTGGTGGGGACACGAGACAAGGTTTTCTTGGTGGCTGTTTCTGGGCTCTAAAATTGAGGACCCTTCCACACAGCCATATAACATACAATATCAAGGCAGAAAATCCCACGATATCTTGTTTGACCTGGGTTATCTGAGTCCACATTCCCATATATTCCAGTTCAAAGTAGACAGTATGGGATTTTATTCAGCTATGTGGAAGGGGCCTATTTGGTGTCAATCCTGAGAAAAAGCAGGGAAATAATAATAATAGTAACAGCAACAACAAAATGTGAAATATTTTATGGTTTGAAAGTGTTATTCTTTTTTGTGCAATACTTTGAAAGTAGTTTTTATACTCCAGAAACTTCCTTTTTGTGGCAGCTACAAACAATGTTGAATTTGTTGAGACTCGAGATGTTAATTGAAAACTATAGCAAAATGTGCTGCAGGATGTCTCACAAAAACAAAGTTTTTGCAGTTAAATAAACTTTTTTCCATGTTTCTATATAGAACCAATTAGGAAATGACATTTATAACCCAGGAACAAAAATTGTGTTATATTGTTTGACAATAATAGCAATGCACACAATAGATTAGTACGTCACATGAAGAAATTTTATTTTACTTATCTCAATTTAACTCTGTACATTTTATTGGATGTACTAAACTAGTGATTTTTAAAAAGGAGAATATAATTCGCTTCATATTTTTCACAAAGGTTCAAATTTTAAGGCTGTTTATGAAAACTTCCATTCTTTAATAATAAAATATTTTCTTAAGCCTTTCTTTATACAAAAGAATATAAATTTATAATTAAACATTTCTGAAGAGAGGAGATGGGTACCAACAAGAAACTAGGCCCTTCCTAATTGTCCGTTATCTATAATTCTCTTCCCCTATTTTGGCATAATGTTAAAATAATTGAAACCCTTTGCTCCTCTTAAAAGAATGAAGAATGTTTATTTTACGTATGTAAAATCTATCCAGCAAACAAGACTCCTTAAAGTACAGTTTGCTAAAATGACATAGCATTTAAGTTCATAATTTTGGGTTTGTTAACTTGGTTTAAAATCCATTGCTTAAAGCCCAACATTTACAGCTAGATCTGTAAGTTCAGATAGTAACTAAAAGTAGTAGAAAGCCTCATTCATTTGGATAAGCTTAACTTGCTAATCTCATTGTGGTAGTTAACACAATATAGATTTTTTGTTCATAGTAAACATTAACTATTGGACCATGATAAATAAGAATGCTTTTGAACATCATGAAGTCATATAGTGTTCCCAAGATATTGCCAAGAGCCAAAGTTTTAGCTTAAAAAAAAAAAAAACCATCCCCTTTCTAGAGATTTTCTTTTGTTGGGAGATGAAGACTTTTTTTGTACTTGAAGACTGCTCAGTGGGAAAGGGCCTTTCCGTGGATGGAAAGGGGTGTCCTTGTTATGCTTTCAATTGCTTTTAATTTTATTCGATAGTTCATTCGTCTTCTATAGTGTTTTTAAGTTTTGTAAGCTGCTTTGAGTCCCAGGTCTATTTACACTACACAGGTAGCATTGTTATTCCACTCTTAACTGCCATGGGATTTTTAGTTTGATAAAGCTTTAGAAAGGCCCCCTGTTGGCATAGCAGGTTAAATCGCTCAGCTACTGAATTTGATAATTTAAAGGTTGGTCATTTGAATCTGGGGAGCGGGGTGAGCTCCCGCTGTTAGGCCCAGCTTCTGCCAACCTAACAGTTCGAAACATGTAAATCTGAGTAGATAAATAGGTACTGCCTTGGCGGGAAGGTAATGGTGTTCCATTTAGTTATGCTGGCCACATGACTCTGGAGGTGTCTATAGATAATGCCAGCTCTTCGGCTTAGAAATGTAGATGAGCACAACCCCCCAGAGTCAGATATGACTAGACTTAATGTCAGGGGAAACTTTTACCTTTATCTAAGGCTTTAGAGGTCTTTGGCTGAGAATTATTAATGACCTTCTCTAAACTACAAATACCAAGATGATAAAAGATGGAGCCATGGCAGTTAAAGTGGAAAGCTAGTGTAGTAGCTTTCCACTTTAACTGTAGTGTGAATGGGCTATTTATTTATTGTGTCAGAAGCGAACCGAGGGAACAGTTGTAATGTATTTAAAAACACAAAGTTTAAAAGATTGGCATTATACTAAATGTCCTTTGACCAGTAGCTGGCCACTTGGAGTGTCCCTGGTGTTGCTGTGATAAGGTCTTCCATTGTGCATGTAGCAGGGCTCAGAATGCATTAAAGTAAGTGGTCTGTGGTTTGCTCTTTTCCACACTCACATGTTGTGGACTTCACTTTGTGGCTTCATTTCTGAAGGTTAGTTCTCCATCTCATGGTGCCAGAGCACAGTCTGTTCAGCACCTTCCAAGTCACTCAGTCTTCTGTGTTCCCAGGAGGGAGTCACTCATTCGGTATCAGCCATGGCTGTCAGGGTGTAAAAAGGCAGAATAGAAATATTGTTGTTCCTATTTACAAAGGAATATACTCTAAACATACACATTTCATCAAAACCCCACTATTAATGGTTAGAGCCAGAAACAAATTAATATCAGCCTTTTGTTAGAAATTTCAGATATTAGCCAAACAATGTTGTGCAGTCATCCATGCTTTATTAATGTTTGCATAGTCAAACTTAACTTGGCACGATCAGTACACAGTTCATTTGAATTAAGGATGTGTAGTTGTGACCCTCCAGATGCTGTTAGTTTGCAATTGCCATCAGCTGATGCCAGAATACTCAGAGTGCTGGGAGCTGCCCAGCTCTAGTTTAAAGAAACAAAACTGCCCAGCTCTAGTTTAAAGAAACATAACCATTGGAATTAAATTAATTCCAATGGTTATGAGTCATAGAAAGATAGCACTGGCCAACTCACATTTTGGTGCCTCAAATGTTAGTGCTGTTTCTGGGTATATTTGGCTTGCTGATTCCAAAAATGGCAGTAGTTCCCCCCTTTCAACTCTAGTTTTAGAGATATAGAACATATACCATCTATCAGTCACCATCTGCTCGCCCATAAAAAATCATGCTAACCATATCTAAGAAACTAGAGCTGATGCAGATTACTTAGTGCAGTTTTCTAAATCAGCCATAATAACCCAAGGAACAGGCCTAAAAACCAAGACACCAATTTTTTTTTTTGGGCTGTGCAGTAATAAAGCCAGTGATGACCACATCCTCTCCTGTCTTCTAGCAGTATTCAGTGTATTCAGTAGCAGACTGTTTTTGTGTCATGATCGACTTGAGAAACTGCAAGTCGCTTATCATTTGAGAGAATTGACTGTCTGCAAGGACATTGCCGAGGGGATGCTCGGATGTTTGATGTTTTACCATTCTTGTGGGAGGCTTCCCTCATGTCCCCTCATGGGGAGCTGAAGCTGACAAAGGGAGCTCAACCCGCTCTCCCTGGATTTGAACTGCTGACCTATTGGTCAGCAGCCCTGCTGGCACAAGTGTTTTAACTCATTGTACCACCGGGGGCTAAGAAATATTTGCCTTGTCTTACATTTTTAGCCATTGCAATGTGTTTGCAAGTGATTAAAAGTCACTACACATTTTCTTCTGTATTGAAATAGCTTTTTAAATTGTTCACAGCAGTATAGAATGTGTACGTGTAAGACATTAGTATGCGTGTTTTCCCCTCATGGTCAGCTGTGAGTGTAAGACATTAGTATGTGTGTGTTCACCCTCTCTACCCATTAGCTTTAAAATCTAGCCAAATATAAATGGACCGTTATTAAGACAAGATTAGAGACACAACAGTCATGTTATCCTTGTTTATTTGGGTCATCAACTATAATAAGGGATGATCTTTTGCTAGTGTAAATGGTTAGATAGCATAAAATGTTTTATTTTCCTCTCATTCAAATGAAAAATCTTATAAATTGGTAATTTCTAAGTAACAAAATAAACATTTGCTTACCAGTTGAATAAATAAGAGGATTTGTGACTTAAAAAACAATAAACAAATTCCAAATTGTTTTCCAGTTAATCACAAGAGTAACTGCCACAATGAGATGTTGGCACGTGCAGTATTTTTGCACATGCACTGGCAGTGCACTGATATCTTATGTGGAAATTGCTCCAATTCTGGCTGTGTTTTGGATCCAGAGGTGACTACTGTATTTACCATAGAAGGACTGTGAGACTTTTCCTTAAATGTTGCTTGAAAATAATGAACAATAATCAACATTCTTTCTTCTGCTTTTGCACAAGAACAGCACACCTGTCTGTTGCAGTGCTTTGTAAACTCTTTTTATTAGAGCTTGAATTATGCAGAACTATGCACTACCATATAAAAGTAGGGTAGTTAGACTGATTTTAAATTCACAGAATATTCAGAGGTTAGTGAGCATATTGTGTATATTGAATTTACAGCCAACTAATAATTAGGACAAGGAAACGAGATAACAGGAATTGAGAGAAATCTACCCCTAGGAAGGGAAATTTGTTACTGAAAGAATACTCATGGGGAAAAGGTGTCTCAATGGAGGCTTTATTACCAATCTTTGTTTCCAGAACAAGCCATTTTTTTCAATATCCAATTCTCACAGGGACAGAAAGTTGAGGTGAAATCCCTGAACAGGGGCGCAGACAGCAAAACAAGATTCACAGGGGTACTAACCATTCTCTGTGCTATCCAAAGCTATATATATCCAATCTCTCTCCCTATCTGGAGTTATACTTCAAAGTGTCCTTCTTATGACTTAAATACAAACACAACTTAAGAACAAATCTACAGAACATTTCTTATTTGCAACTTTGGGGCTTCCTATGCTGTTAAAATACCCTTCCCACACTTTCATTTTTAATTTTCTTTGGTTGGGATAAAAGGACAATAGATTGCCAGATATTTCAAGTTACAGTTCTAATTAATTAAGCTGTACTGCAATATGAAAATACTGAATGTTCTACACTTGTTTATTGCAGATTGCAGTGCAAAATTTTGGAAGTTAAAGCACCATTATGTCAGAATGGTATGACGAATGGTCATGCCAACGGTACAGATGGAGTCACCATAGTAATTAGTGACAGTGATGATTCAGACTCAGAGACCAATTCTGCACAAAATGGGTAAGGTCTGCTTTTTTAATATTTTGAAAGTACAAATGCAGATACAGTTTTGAAAGGCTGGAAAAGTCATTTTTAATAGCTACTTAATGCTTGCTGCAAAGTCTCCATAAAAATCTGAATACTCATTTTACCTATAAAAAAAGAATTGCAACATCCCAAAATGCTTTGATAGATAACTGAGATTGTGTGCTTTTATTTGTATATACAGGAACAAATCAACACATATATTTTGTTGAGCTACATCTGTGTGGAAATATATGTAACGAAATACGCTTTTTCTGCTAGTATTTAACGCAGCCATTGGGTTTAATCAAGTGAGATTATGATGAATTACTGCATATACTCAAGTATAAGCCTAGTTTTTCAGCCACATTTTCAGGCTGAAAAAAACCCCCTCGGTTTATACTCGAGTCAAAGTTGTTTATTATTTTACTCTGTTATTATTATTTTTATTACATTTATTAATTTACTCTATTATTATTGTGATGGCACGCCGGGAAGATTGATAAGAAAACTATATGTGTCCGGCTATTTTCCCAGTGACCATCGGTATGACCAATATGTACTTTAATACCTCCAAAATAAAACTCTAGAGACGAGACTAAATTTAACTAATTAAGTTTACTGAATCAAAACAAGGTATACAAAGGTGCAGTTTGATTCTTGATGGTATAGAATTAGAATAGTAAGGTACAGGTTTAAGGTATAACTCTGAGGTAAAGAACAAAACTATATTCTATGAGGTAAGTATTCTGTAAACTCTGGGACATGTACTGCTTAGGTCTCTGGCATGTACATCTATAAACTACCTCTGAGGATGCTTGCCATAGATGCAGGCGAAACGTCAGGAGAAATGCCTCCAGAACATGGCCATATAGCCCGAAAAAACCTACAACAACCCAGTGATTCTGGCCATGAAAGCCTTCGACAATACATTGATACATCTATAAACTTTGGTCTCTGAGGCAAATACAGATGAATTCTATGGCATATACAGCTATTAACTATGGCATGCACATCTATATTCTCTGGGGCATGTACAACTATTCTTTATAGCATATACTATAATCTATAGACTCTAAGGCATGTAAAGCTATAGACTATGACATGTACATGTACTATCTAATCTATAAGGCAAATACGTGCTAAGGATTGCCTGTTCCAGACCGCTAAGCTAGACCAGACACTTTCTGGCTAACTACTACAAGCTATGTCCAAGAAGAATGGAGGCAAAAAGTCCTTCCACCAAGCTCTGAGCCAGAATGGGCTGAACCAACAGAGCTCAGCCTCTAGGGGGATCCTAAGCTCCTACTCTAAAACTTAGCAGAATGGAACAGTCCACCTCCAGGGAGCAAACAGGGAAATAAACAGAGGGGTAAAAACTAGGCCGAGACTTCACAATTATCATTATTACATTTATTAATTTACTTTGTTATTACATTTATTATTTTACTCTATTACTGTTATTATTACATTTCCATTATTTTACTTTCATTATTATTTTTATTACATTTATTATATTACTTCCTTTATTATTATTGGAAGGATATGTAAGCACATTTACATTGAAGAAGGTTATAATAATGGTTTAATCAGAGTTTGGCAGTCTTGTCTTAAATTACAGTTTTTTAAAAAATATTCAAAAACATTGATGTAATTGTAGAAAAAGGAAGAACAAGGAGGCGATGGGGCCTCTGCAAGGAGAATATGGGGAAATGTTGACAGGGGATAGCGAAAAGGTAGAACTGCTTAATGCCTTCTTTGGCTCAGTCTTCTCATAAAAAGAAAGCCATCCTCAACCTCAGCAACATGGAATGGATGAAGGAATAGGGGAAATCCAACCCCAAATAGTGAAACAAGTCATCGAGGAATACCTGGTCACTCTAAACAAATTCAAGTCCCCAGGGCTGGATCAACTACACCCAAGAGTATTGAAGGAACTAGCGGAAATAATTTCGGAACCTCTGGCAATCATCTTTGAGAGTTCCTGGAGAATGGGAGAAGTTCCAGCAGATTGGAGGAGGGCAAATGTGGTCCCTATCTTCAAGAAGGGATAAAAGGACAACCCAAACAATTACGGTCCGGTCAGCCTCACGTCGATACTAGGCAAGATTCTGGAAAAGATTGTTAAGGAAGTGGTCTACAAACACTTAGAAATGAATGCAGTCATCACTAATAGTCAACATGGATTTATCAAAAACAAGTCATGCCAGACTAATCTGATCTATTTTTTCGATAGAGTTACATGCTAGGTAGGTGCAGGGAATGCCGTGGATGCAGCATACCTTGGTTTCAGTAAGGCCTTCGACAAAGTCTCTCATGACCTTCTGGCAACTAGTCCAATGTGGGCCAGGCAAAACTACGATTAGGTAGATCTGTAATTGGTTAAATGAACGAACCCAGAGGGTGCTCACCAATGCTTCTTTTTCATCCTGAAAAGAAGTGACGAGCGGAGTGCCGCAGGGTTCCGTCCTGGGCTCGGTCCTGTTCAACATCTTTATTAATGACTTAGATGAAGGTTAGAAGGCATGGTCATCAAGTTTGCAGATGGCACCAAATTGGGAGGGATAGCCAATACTCCATAAGACAGGATCAGAATTCAAAACAATCTTAACAGATTAGAGAGATGGGCCAAAACTAACAAAATGAAGTTCAATAGGGACAAATGCAAGATACTCCACTTAGGCAGAAAAAAATGAAATGCAAAGATACAGAATGGGGGACTCCTGGCTCGACAGCAATACATGTGAAAAAGGTCTTGGAGTCCTTGTTGACAACAAATTAAATATGAGCCAACAATGTGATGCTGCAGCTAAAAAAACAAATGGGATTTTGGCCTGCATGAACTAAACTAAATGATTAAGGGTCTGGAGAACAAGTCCAATGAGGAGCGACTTAAATTGCTGGGCATGAAGAGAAAACTGAGAGGAGACATGATAGCTGTGTATAAATATGTGAGGGGAAGTCATAGGGAGGAGGGAGCAAGCTTGTTTTCTGCTGCCCTGGAGACTAGGATGCAGAGCAATGGCTTCAAACTACAGGAAAGGAGATTCCACCTGAACATTAGGAAGAACTTTCTAACTGTGAGAGCTGTTCAGCAGTGGAACTCACTACCCCAAAGTGTGGTGGAGGCTTTTAAACAGAGGCTGGATGACCATCTATTGGGGGTGCTTTGAATGCAGTTGTCCTGCTTCTTGGCAGGGGGTTGGACTGGATGGCCCACGAGGTCTCTTCCAACTCTATGGTTCTATCTATTTTTATTTTGAAATTTACCAGTAGCCGCTGCATTTCCCACCTTCGGCTTATACTTGAGTCAATATGTTCTCCCATTTTTGTGGTAAAATTAAGTGCCTCGGCTTATATTCGGGTCGGCTTATATTTGAGCATATACGGTAGTTTTTTCAAGTGTTTTCTTCCTACATCCAAAATTAGATAGGTTTTTGTTTGCTTTTAGAAGAAAACAATTATTTACCTTTATTTTTCAGGAAGGAAAAAGCCATAATTGATCCCTCTTTATTCAAATACAAAGTGAAGCCTATTAAAAAACAACTGTATGAATCTGTTACAGTGAAAGCATTTCAGATATGGTAAGCATCATTAGTTGCAGTTATTTTGCCTTTGCACACGTATATATGGTTAGATTTAAACTTCCAGTCACTGGAGATTGGAGAGATAACTTGTATGGATTATCTCCTCTGTAGCTCCTTAGTGCCTTCAAAACTTAGTTGTGGTTTCCTGTAAAACGGAGTGAAGTTGGGACAACTGTAAGGAAGTTTTCACCTGCTGGGGTGCAGCAAATGAGGAGATGTCATGTCACCTGATTTTATTTTTGGCTGAAAATTAGCCATTTTTAGAGAGATTGGAGGTCTAAACTAGCAAATGAGCTGCATTTTAAGAGCATTTTGTGACAACATGGAGTATTCTAGGGTGATTGAGCTTTAGGGGCCTGTTCTGCCTCTGCAAGAACTCTCATTCTTTACCCCTGTTTCAGCCCTTTTTAGTTAGAGGTAATTAGCATTTTGTGTATAGTTTTGTGGAGGTCAGTCTAAATCAGTGGTCTCAACCTGGAGTCCCCAGATGTTTTTGGCCTACAACTCCCGGAAATCCTAACAGCTGATAAACTGGCTGAGTTTTCTGGGAGTTGTAGGCCAAAAACATCTGGTGACCCCAGGTTGAGAACCATTGGTCTAAATAGTCTCCCTTTGAAGCCTCAATTGCCCTGCCCCTTTAAGAATCCCCTTAGGGGCTGAGCCTCAGGCAAGGCACTTCTGGTTCTTGGAGGAGTCAGTCTTTTTGGTGACTGGAAGGTGAAAAAAGAGGAAGGCTAGAAAGCCTACAAAATAGCACATCCAATAGAAACTGAATTCATGTCCTGTCAGAGCTATATTCAGGTCCAACGAGAGTTGAATATTCGGACCATCTTGGAGACGTTGAGCACCATACAGGAAAAGAGACATTAAGAAGAAATAAAGATTCAAGAGCCTCAATTTGGCCAGAACTGTGTTGATCTCTCAAAGACTTTACCTCTCCTCATAAAGACTTTGTAGTGAGACTCAAGAGGAGAGAAAGCCTAAATTCTTGTCAGTTAATAAATTCTTAGTTGATTCAACTATATAGTCTCCGATCTCTTCCCTGCACAACCAGTTCATCTTCCAAGTAGTTAAGATAGTGTGGGGGCAGAACAGGGCCACAAAAAGTAGAATATTTTTCTCACTTGTGCTGTAAATTAACTTCAGCTTCATTTCTCCATTGTAAAAACCACAGATTAGGATAATGTTTGATAAATCTCATGAATAAATCTCATGGAAACTCAAGTATCCCGTATTAGAATTTCCCAGAACAGTAGTGGCCTAAGACATTACTACATTTAAATTTCTGTGGGAGTCTAGATATTAATTACATTGCAAGAGTTAATTTGAAATGCTAAGATCCTTGGTAATGATGTGTAATCCTTTTCTTTTGGGCCTGTATTATAGCCGGAGAAAACATCTTTTTTCTCGTGAAAGGCTTAAGCTTTTTTTGAAGCAACACTGTGAATTGCGTGATGGCATTGTCAAAATTAAGGTAAAGTCATTAAAACATGAAATCTTCAAGATAAGGAGCAAAGATACGGTTGATCTGAATTTTAAAGTTATATATAAAAGTTGTTTGTGTTTTTAATTTGCCTTTTGTAGGTATTAAACAGTAATGCTGGAAGATTTGTGCTTTTTGCATGTGATTATGTTATCTTTTATAATAAGTATTTATGTTAAAATACAGTTGTCTTATGATACTCTGAAGACAATCAAATTTAGTGTGGCATAAATTTGTTAGTATTTAAAGTACTACAATATTCTAATGATTTTGTTGCTCCAAGCTGCTGAGGTTGGGGGGGGGGGGGGGGGGTGTTGGAAGAGAGTGTCTTGAACCTGTTTTACAAATTTACTGTATTGCTTTTGTTTTGATTTAAATTGGAATCAGATTTGACACACTGGTGTGCTTTTTCAGTGAAATGTTACATTTGTGCCCTTTTAGAAAACAATGTTCTAACTAGAAATACTCTTGTGAATTATTTACTTTAGTGATGCACTAATAACAGTGGCCCCATTTAGTACCTCAAACAGATACAGGTCCAAATTGGTGTGCTGTGGTGTTACTAATTTAGAAGTACAGTAATAGAAATGAGTAGTTTCTTCTCTTTGACACTTCAAAAATTATTTATTAACAGTGTTGGAAGACTTGACAATCTTCATAATATTTTTTCACCTTTCTCTTCAAAGGCAGTGTCATTTGCAAAATACAAGATAGGAGAAAAGACTTTTTCCTACATCTTCCCTGATGATCCTCCCACTTTTATCTCCAGTACTTCAAACAGGCGGCGAAGGAGGCCTCCAAATATGGTATTAGATGTTGTACGTAAATGAGTGCCTCTCTGTTTTCCAGTAGTTGTGTTTGTGGGTGGTAATTTATAAAATCATTTTATATATCACTTCAAATGTGCAGTGTCGTGCTTTCTTTATTCACCTTCACTGTCATTCTTAGAGATAGATCATTATACTTCCAATATACAGTTAGAAATAATAGCTGGTATCCTTTTGGTGAATTTTGATGATACAAATCAGACTCAACATCCCACCTCCATTTTTTTGGTTTTGGGGAGGTTAGAATTCGATTCTGCCCACACAATATCCCAAATGTCTTGTCAATTCTTCTTTGTAAGCAACACAGCCCTCATACCATGGCCACTTATGTGTTCTTGGAGAGGAGGAGGATCAGTGGATGATGTTATCTGTGGAAGCCTCCTGAAGACCTCTAGAGATCTGTTTTGCCATAGGTGGACACTACAGTAGGCACCTGTACGTGTGTCCACCAATGGCAAAACAGCTGGAGGCATCCCCACTGATACTCTATGACAACATGGAAATAACTGTTGAGGCTGGGCTTTTGGCTTTGAGGTAAAGTAGCACTGGGACACATATCTGATTGAGAGACATACCTCTCCCAATCTGGACTATAATTTACAGAGTGTCAGGCTTACCATGACCTTAGAGGTCCATGGACAATGAGGTTGGCTGTACAGATGTTGAACCAAGCTGGTTAACATGTTTGGAATGCAAAGGAAGAAAATCAAAATTCACTATCATCACGTAAATAACACTTTCATAGTCATGTGCCTATTTGGTAATTTGTTTCACTTGCATCAAAATTACAACATGTCTTTACTTCTCAAGTTGTTGTCGAAAGATGCAGGTTTTCAGCTGTTTTTCTAACATGCAGTTGTGGTTTTGTCCCCAGGAGGATACAGTTCCAGAAGAACAGCTTAGTCCTAGAAACGTAAGCAGTGCAGCAAAGGAAAGGGCAAGATTCCAAAAAGAAAAAGAAGAAATGAGGGCCATGGGTAAGTTCAACCTTGGGCAATATATACAATCCTTCAAAATAGTAAGCTGCATTGGCCCATTCACTAGCTCATTGTTGAAGGTACTATTAGTCTTAAGCATAATCATACACATTTTTGTTTTGTTTTATTAAAATAAAAATATTTCCAAATTTAATTTCTTCCTAGTCACATGTATGTAATCATTTTAGGTGTATGTTGTATGTATGTGTATATATACACCATATATTCTGGCGTATAAGACTACTTTTTAACCCAAGAAAATCTTCTCAAAAGTCAGGGGTTGTCTTATATGCGGGAGCCGTCTTATACGCGGAGGTCGTCTTATACACGGGAGTCGTCTTATATGCTGGAGTAGCTTTATGCATGGGAGTCGTCTTATATACGGGAGTAGTCTTATACGCCAGGAGTCGTCTTATAGAGCAGGTGCTGAAACTTCCAATCCGGATTGGGGAATCTGGTTGATGCATATTGTGGGGGGAGCTCAAAAATGGCAGTGGCCTCATCCCTGCCATATGCAGCGACTGTATGAAAGCATTAAGGGTGACATTGTACAAGTATGGTATAAGAAAATCCATTCATCAGGATTCGTGGACTTAATGCGATCCTGATGTTGAGGTGAAGGGGCACCTCACCGGGAAGAAGGTGTAAGTGAAGGCGGAGCAAGCTGCAGGCGTCCGGGGTATGGAAAAAAGAGATAGTGGCTCTGGGACCAGAAAAAAACAACTCTTTTAGCTGTCTGGACCGCCCTTGTATCCTATTACCGTACCTCCTCCTCTGCCTCTCAGATCTTGCTCCTGAAGACTGCAGTGAAGTGGTGAAGTTGCGCATGTGCGAGATCTGACAGGCAGAGAAAGAGGTACAGTAATAGGAAAATTACCATATTGAAATCAAATCTGATACTTTTAAAATTTCATTTGGTGTTGGAAGAGGGGTAGTCTTATATGGCGAGTATATCCCAAACTCTATCTTTTAACTGGAAAAGTTGGGGTCGTCTTATATACCCAGTCATCTTATATGCCGGAATACACGGATATATCATTTTTTAATGTACATCCCTTCCAAAGTAATAAAATACAGTCTTTCCAAGTAAAAGCCATAACAAGACTGTTGCAATATCTAACAATAAATAGAAGAAAAGTTGTAACATCAAATCACAGCATTAATCAGTAAAAGATTGCTATTTGATTTTGCAAGTTTTTGTAACCCACCTTTGGTCCCACTCTGGGAGAAAGGCAGCATATAAATACATTAAATTAAAATAAATTAAAAAAAAAAAACACTAGTGCAGGTTTTTTTTAAAAAAAAAAACTAGTACAGTAGTCCAGCAAGAAGCAATTACAACAGTGAATCAATAGAAAAACTAACTTGTGTCTCACACTGTGTCAGAGTTATTGCTCGTTAAACCCAAAGCATTACAGTTTATTCGCTTGATTTCAATCAGAATGGTAAATAAAAGTAAAGCAGCATTGCATTATAGCTAGAGAAAATACCTTAAGAACATTTATGTTGTTGCTTTGTACAATGTTCCCACATCCCTCTTAATGGTGGTTGTTTGGTTTAGCCCTTGCAAGTTGGTTTTGGTTCTTTTTATGTCATTTGATTGATGTTAGTTTTATTCTTGTGGCAGTTTTCAGCATAGACATTGATTGTAGGATACAGCCTCCATGTCTGTGGTGGATATGTTACTTGACTGCAGATAGTAGCAGACCCTATTGAAATTCCTGGCCCAAGAATACCACAGAGTCATGCTGTATGATGATGATGATGATGATGATGATGATGATGATGATGATGATGATGATGATTTATTTATAGACCACCCTCTTTCTCCGAGAGAACTCAGGGCAGTTTACACACAAAAAAGGCAAACCTTCAATGCCCAGACAAGTGCAAAAACAGTATAGTTTTACAACACAATAAAGAATAACAATCACAGTAAGATTATCACATAAAAGAATGTACATCACAATGAAAAAGAGAATATAAATAAATAAAATGCGTCGAGAGGACATATTTTGTTGGATGTGGATAGATGAAATCGGAGATACCAGTTCTGCATATATAGGGGCTGTACTGCATTACTGTTTGTAAATCTTTAATTTCATTTTAAGCTTTACTGTGGTATATTACCTAGAGAATATATGGAGATGAACGTAAATAATATATAATAGCTGCTCACCCCAGCTCTTCTCTCATGCATCCTGATGGTTCCTATCTGGCAAATGTTTGGACTGGATGACCCTTGTGGTCTCTTCCAACTTTAGGATTCTATGATGCCAGCACATACACCTACCAGAAAAACTATATTTCTCTATTGCAGTGGTTAATTATGATTATTATGTTTATACTGCCCTCAGAGCACATTCTTGCTTAATGCAGGGTTCAGTGCACACTTTAGATGGACTGCTTTCAGACATGAATTTCTGCTTTAAAAATTATAAACTAGTCAAAACTGGAGTAGTATTTGAAAAGTGAACTCTTTAATAGACAAAAAGGAAATGAAAATGGTATAGCTTTGGGTCACATGTGTGCTTGGGTGGGTGTATTTTGCTGTATTTGAACTGGGTGATAATCCATGTGTTTTTCTTTTATACTTTTCAAAAAGAAAAATTAAAAAAGGAGAAGGCAAATGTGGTAGAATCCAAGAAAAAAGAAGATAAGGATAAAAGAAAAGAAGAACTAAAGAAGATTGTGGAAGAAGGGAAGTTAAAGAAGAAGGAAGAGAGGGAACGACTCAAATTAGAAAAAGAAAAGGTTAGATTCTCTTCATGCAATTTCCTAATGGTAGCTATGGGTTTGCGATGGCAGTAACAGTTGCATTCTGTAGCACTAAAGGTTTTGAGAAATTAGAACCTATATCTTGGCCCAAGGAATGGTTAGTAACACTGACATTTTTCTTCAGATATGTTATGTTATGTGTTCCTGCAGGCTTTTATCAATCTTCAGTTACAATCAGTAGAAAACCATCTGCGTAAAATAACTGTAAAGTTTTATATCCTTGTCCTAAATCCTGAGCTCTGTGGATGATTAAATTGGAATTTCTTTAATCTCAATAACAAATTCCAGTTTTCAGGCAAACCTTACTATAAGCACTGCTAAAATTCTGTCAACTGTGAGCAGTTTTGTGTTGTACAGTGTTGCCATATCTATTTATATTGCTCCATTCTAGCCTGATAATTCTTTATGTATACTTTCTAGAATAGCTTGTACATGTGTTCACATTTGTAACATAAATGTAGCCAGTGACACATACCCTGATTATATAGGAGAGGGCTTTTTTTACTTTGAGTTTTTTTATGGTTGAAAGATGATATCCTGAAAAAAATAATGCACTGTCAAATAAGAATTCTAAAATATGACTAAGTCAGCTGTTTGTTTAAATGCATTACAAGAAAGCTAGCATATACTAGGTTAAATGGTTAAAATTATTAGTTATTAATCCTTGGCAAATGCAGGAAAGACAGTGGGTAAGGGAAATATAGCTCCTATTGTACTATTTCCTAATGATGGTCCATGTCTACTGAAAATGGATAAGGGGAAAGAGAACAAAGCATAGAAGGGATAGTGCTGGAGGGCTGAACCTCTTTCGCCCATGCAGCCGGAATTAAAATGGTGAGAGGAAGGAAATCTCTTGCACAAGTGAATGTCAATTTGTATAATGATTAATCATTCTATAGTTTGGATTGATCTGTATGGTGATGTTACAGATGAATGACTTCTAAAGCAACCTGTGTAACTCAGTAAACTAAATGTTAGTCACAAAAAGGACACAGACTGAAGTAATATAATTAGGTGAAATTACAGTTCTATTTAACTATTGTGGTGATAATATTTTGTGTATATACAGGAGAGGGAGAAATTGCGAGAAGAAAAAAGGAAATACCTAGAACATCTGAAGCAATGGAATAAGCGTAGGGAAGACATGGAATGTGATGACCTCAAGGTAATGGGATGTCAGAAATTGGTAGATCTGCAGTTTTAATCCACTTTTTGTTAGATTACACATGATTAGATTTCAGAATGTTTTTTAAATAATTTTTTAATCAAAGTTTTATCCTTAGGGAAGCCATCTATCATTAGTTTAATTCCAAACCCTCTCTAGATTACAGCAAAGGCTAACTTTACCTTGTAGGTAGTTGACCTTCAATTCATCAGTATGTTTGCTGTTGGTTTGCTGCTGGTGTAACATAAAAGTATTAGTTGTTTACTTTGCATTGCAGGAACTTCCACTTCCAACTCCAGTGAAAACCAGACTACCTCCTGAGATCTTTGGTGATGCAGTCATGGTCTTGGAGTTCCTCCATGCCTTTGGGGAACTCTTTGATCTTCAGGATGAGTTTCCTGATGGAGTTTCTTTAGGCAAGTCCCCCCCCCCCTTCTTTTTATCTTAAGGTACCATTGTTACATGCTTCTTGGTGTGGACATTCATATTATTGCTTAAAATATCAGAACTGTGCATAATTTTAATTCTTATATATTATTGAATGTATGCTTGTGTATATGGATCAAATTGCAATTGATGAGACAGTATTTGCCACACAGTTCTAAATGCAGCTGGCAAAGCACTTCTCCATTTATAAAATGAAATCAAGTATGTCCATTTGGATAAAGATGTCAGGAATGAAGACTCCAAGGCTGACCATGCTGAATTATGTACTATAAGTGACTGTTGCAAAAATTAAAATAAGGTAACAGCTATGCTCTGTAGTATGTAGGAATTTCCAATCTTCCCATTGTTATTTTGGGAAGAGATGAACCCTCTCTCCCCCAAATCTGTTGAAAACTGCATTGTGTTTTTAAAAATATTTGCAAGGCAGAAGTAGTGTAATTCCATAACTATTCTTGGGAATAATTAAAAATAGCATATGGGCAATATCAAAACTGTCATGCTTTAAATATGCTAGAATTCTTGTCTCTCACTGGCAGTATTTCTGATTCGACTAGCTAATTGAATACCCAGATATTTTAGCAAAATTGTTAAATGGAACTGAAATGGACTTTTGGGACATTGAAATGAACAATAGATCATCTGCAAAAGGAACCTTTTAAAATTCTAAACTGACATGCAAAAATCCATTGATCTGGAACTTTGTTTAGTGCCACTTGCTAAGTGTTCCAATCACATATTGAATATTAAAGGAGACATTGGACATACCTGCCTTAGTACTTAGTTTTGTTGTAAAAAAAAGAATGAGAACAAACTATTGATCATAACCCATGATCTTGGTGCTGAATTTTATTAATATGTTTTTAATTTAACCTGCTTTTTATAATATATACGGTGTTTTTCAATTGTCGGTTTGAGCATAAGACTTAAATGTGTTGAGATGTATGCATGAATGTTGAATATTTCATGTGCCTATTTGTTTTAACATTAGAAGAGACACTTTAGTCATGGGCCTGGTAATCGTTTCAGCCATTTAATTTGTGTTTTCATACTGTTTGTTTCATTCAGATGACACAAAACAGTACACCTCCCTCTTGTATGGAAATATCAGTGAAATGAAAGGAAAGTGGGAACAGTAACTGTTTGGTCGCCTGATTTTTGGTGTTCAGTTGCAGGCCCTGGCAGCCGCAGGCACTTTGGGCCTGCAGTCCACACACGCACTCTCTTTCCAAGGAGAGTGCGTATATGGCTTGCATGCCCAAAGTGTCCACATCTGCCAGGGCCTGCAGCTGAGGGCTGAGTAAGAGGCGCTCAGCTGCAAGGCGTGGGCACTTTGGGCCTGCAAGCTACACATGCACTCTCCTTGGAAGGAATGTGTGTGTGTGGCTTGAAGGCCCAGAAAGCACCCACGACTGCCAGTGCCTAAAACAGGGGAAGGGGAGCATGGGAAGCCTGTCCATTGCCACCAATGGGCCAAAAATATTCGTTTTTTTCAGACCTGGGCTGAAAAAGCTAATTCGGAAAGGCGCTCGAAAACCAAGACAGGGCCTTACAAATGAAACAAACATAAACTGATTCTGTACAAATGCACTAGACTACTACACACGCTGACCTGTGGGATTAAGCATGATGAAAATTGTACATGGATTGACTGATTCTCTGAAAGAAAATGGTAAAGCTTTACAATAGGAAGAGCTGATTCATCTTCATGTTTTGAGTTCTTCTGCCAGAAATAAATTGCTGAATCAGAGCAAGTATTTCTCATGTGAACATCTTTGAAAATATTCCCATACAATGATTTGACAAATAATGTGGTAGTTATCTGGCAAAGGACCTATTGTCATTGCCTTTCCACCTCCAAGACTTGTATCCATAACAGTTTGATTAAAAGGTATTTTTTATGTGTTTCCTGCAGAAGTTTTAGAAGAAGCTCTTGTAGGAAATGACAGCGAAGGCCCACTATGTGAATTGTTGTTCTTCTTTCTGACTGCCATTTTTCAAGCAATGACTGAAGAAGAAGAAGAAGTGGCCAAAGACCAAATTGTTGATGCTGAAACCAAAGGTCAGATTTTGATAGTGCTTCTTAAAGCGGAACTTTGCATATTAACCTGCGTGCATGGCAATTTTTCCTCAATTAACATTGCTCTCCTTCAGCATGGAATAGCTAATGTAGAAAAGATAGGGTGTTTGAGTTGCAAGCTGCAGCAGTGATATGGTTTTGTTTTGTGTTCAATTTTCTGAAGTAAAGGCATCCTTTTATGCATGTCAATAATTTCAAATTGGCAGGCTTTCAGGAAGTGTCAAAACACTCTTTTTTTTTGAAGTTACATCAGCAGTATAGTCTACTTTTACTGAAAGTCAGAAGGTATGCTTTGTCTCACAGATCCCATCTGTCCCATCAACAGATGTGTCAGTTAATGTCCACTGAAATACATGTTTTTGTCTTTTGAAGTAAAAACCATAACTGTCTTCTAGCACTTTAAAGACATTTACTATGCCTTAGGATTTCATGGACTAGGGTCCACTTTATCTGTTGAAAGCTTATGTCATATGTTGAATTGTTTATGCATGGATGTTGAATGTTTTATGGGCCCATTTGTTTTAATGTTAGAAGAGACCCTACACATGCTGACCTATGGGGTTACGCATGATGAAAATTGTACATAGATAAACTGCGTCTCTGAAGGAAAATGGTGAAATTTTATAATGGGAAGAGCTGTTTTATTTATTTCATCCCAAAAGCATTGCCTACATAAATAAGTATAAAACTTATAAAATAAAGGGAGCACAAGCAGCTAAATAATTTTAGACCAAAAATGGGCAACAGCGACCACATTGTCTGTAGCTTTAAACAGTTTTTCCTCTGTGCATGAGGCAGGGCTTGATTTAAGTCTACTGGGCAGAGGCTGATAGCCGTACAGTGGGCGGCTTTCACAGTGTTTAATTTTATTTATCTCATAATTGGCAGCAACTTCACATCAGGGAGGGAGGCAGTGCCAGCTAGCTTATAAAGTCTATCAGCAGGTTTAGGTTTAAGATATCCTGTGATTATTCTACATGTTTCATTCAGTGCCAGACAGGGCAGGCATACACGGCAGTTGAGTAAGACAAGGCCAGGGCTGATGTTCGTATTAATTCTGGGTCTGCATCCCATGTGCTATCAGTAAGTTTCTGCAGGATGTTATTATGTGCAGCTACTTTGTACTTGATGTTCGCACAGTGTTTGCTAAATGTTAGTGTTCAATCTGAATCGATGCCAAAATACTTAGGATGGCAACAGTGTTCAAGCTCTTGGTCTTCTCAGGTAACTTATCAATTTTCTGTTGGCTTCATTATTACTGTAGGTGGGAAGCACATACTTGTGTGTTGGCAGGGTTAGGCTTCAGGTGGTTATCTTTGCAGTGGCTGGAGAGATTTTTCAGGGCATTAGTAAGTCTTCTGCTTGTGGTGTTAGGCCAAGATCATCAGCATATATAAAGCTCTTTGTGAGTGGTGACTGTGGCTGATCGTTACTTAAAATGTTAAACAAGGTTGGTGCCTTGAGGTAGACCATTCTTTTGCCTCCTCCATCTACTTCTCCTGCCCTGAAAGGGAAGAGCTGTGTGAGCTATACTTTGCTTATTTTGTGAGTTAAATATTTAATGTTTTACAATTAATGTGAACTCTAGCCTGTTGTTGTAACAGCTCTGAAGTATTGCTTTGCTTTTATTTAAATGGCAAGTATCAGTGTACAGCAATGCTTGGCCAAGTATGAATGCTAATATCACATATTGTATAATCTAATTGGTCAACTGTGAAACTTGACAAATAGATTTTAAAATTCTATATATTTTTTTCGAAGTGTGTAGCTTGAAGTTTTGATAAATACTAGTGGTTATACTGATGCAGAAACCTATTGCTGTTTGTTGTTAACTTCCATCAAGTTTGCTTCAATTTACTGTGACCTTATGAATGAGAGCTCTCTAAGATATGCTGTCATCAAGACATTCTGCTCAGATCTATCCACCTGTAACACTATCTTTTCCTGCTGCTTCCCACTTTCCTAAGCATTATACTTTTTTTAATGAGTCAGGTCATCCCATATTATGTCCAGGATGTTATGTCTAGTGTAATAGCCCCAGTTTGGTCATTATGGCTTCAAGCATATTTCAGGCTTGATTTATTCTAGGACCCATTTATTTGTCTTTTTTAGCAGTCCATAGTATCAGTAGAACCTCTCCTCCAGCACATTTCCAATCTGACCTTTGGCAAAATAGTTAACAAAAAATTGCCATATTTTTATCTCAGTACCTGAGATTCATTAACATGTATTCTAATTTGAATTCTACAAGTAGAGGTAGGGAATATTTGGCACAGAAGTTCTTTGGACTGCAGCTCCTATAATTTCATCATTGGTTGTGCTTGATGGGGTTGATGGGAGCTGTAAGCTAAATCATTTGGCAAGATTAATCATCATTGCCCTACTAATAGTTTGTATATTATATTTTAAGTTGAAAGTAGTTAATTTAGATAAAAGATTATAAGCAGAAAGAGCATTTTAATAGTAGTTTGACATAATTTGGAGATATGGTAGAAGATTGAGCAAGCTTGTTTTCGATGTTCTTCTAGAAACTATCTACAATAATTCAATCTACAATATTCAATCTACAATAAAAGATATTTCAGTAATACATTAGGAGGAACTTATTTTCTCCATGAGGTGTTCAATAGCAAAGTAGTTTTCTTTAGAGAGCTGTTCAGAGGGACTCTTCTTTAAATGTTTAAAGAGATTGAGGGACTTCCGGTTTGCAGCCATGGCGGCAGGACGCAAGTAGAAGGAGCTCTGCCTTCTAACTGCAACTTGAGTGAGTCACTGGGTTGAGCAGGGTTCTCATTAAGCCCTGCTCCCCTCCTCCTGTGGATGGATACAGGAGGGTACGCTGGTACCCGTCAGGCCACCCATAAGTGATGCCCCCCCCAATGACCCAATCCCCCGCATTGGGCTGAGCTTACCTACGAGGAGGGAAGAAGAGGGAGCCTCCTCGCGAGAAGACCCAAAGCTCCGAGGGAGGAGGAGAAGACGGGGAGGAGCCCGCGTAGCACACGCCGCACGCCGCACGGATGCAGACGCCGCGACGCTACTAAGGAGACGCTGCGTCAACACGTCATCACGTCGACACGCAGCGTAAACGCGTCACCACGCCATCACGCTGCGCAACGCGGGACGTGGGGGCGTGAAGAACAGCGAACCCGGAAGTGGGCAGAGACCGGAGGAAAGGACTTGGAGACAGACAAAAGAGCAAAGGAGAGTAAGCACAGGGATCGAGGCGGACCAGAAGGAACAGAAGAAGAACGGATGAAGAAGACTACAAAGGACTGAAAAGGACTCAGAGACATAGTAAGGTGGGGAAAAAATTAAATACATATAGGAATTTTAGGTTTGAAATACACAATAACCAAGAAGTAAAAGGCAGTAGATAAGAAGGACAGGACCCAGTAACCGTATCAAAACCCAGGGGGAGAGAAGGCTAAAGGGACAAAGGACTCACAAAGAAACAGTAAAAGAAATAGGGTTAAAGGAGTGTACTAAAAGGAAAGGAACTGAAGTTTTAACGATAGAGTAGAAGGACCAATCCGAAAGGAAAGAAGGGAAAACCAGTAAAGGGAAGGCAGAGTCAAAAAGGGAAAAAAAAAAAAGAGAATCTGGAGGAGCCAATAGGCAATTAGATATACAAGAGGTAAAAAGATATTTATTTATTTATTTATTTATTTATTTATTATTTGCATTTATTGACCGCCCCTCTCAGCCCGAAGGCGACTCGGGGCGGTGAACAACAACAGAAAGAACAGTGTACAATAAAACTAGACAATACAAACCAGACAATACAACATAACATATACTTATACTAAAATCCGCTTCGTCAAGTCCTCAAGTCCTGGGGTCATAGCCAATTTCATAATCCTAGTCCATTCCAGTGTCGTTCCACGTACTCTCAGTTGAAGGCCTGCTCGAAGAGCCATGTTTTCAGGCCTCTCCGAAAGGCCAACAAGGAGGGCGCCTGTCTAACTTCAGCAGGGAGGGTGTTCCACAGCCGGGGGGCCACCACCGAGAAGGCCCTCTCTCTCGTCCCCGCCAGACGTGCCTGCGAGGCAGGCGGGACCGAGAGAAGAGCCTCCCCGGATGATCTCAAGGCCCTCGTGGGCTCGTAGGCCGAGATGCGGTCTGCAAGGTATTTTGGGCCGGAACCGTTTAGGGCTTTGTAGGATAATACCAGCACCTTAAATTGGGCCCGGTAGCGAATCGGCAGCCAGTGGAGCTGGGACAGCAGGGGCGTTGTGTGCTCTCTGCGTCCTGCTCCCGTTAACACCATGGCTGCCGCGCGTTGGACTAGCTGTAGCTTCCGGGCCGTCTTCAAGGGCAGCCCCACGTAGAGAGCGTTGCAGTAGTCGAGGCGGGATGTGACCAAAGCGTGTACCACCGTGGCCAAGTCAGACTTCCCAAGATACGGGCGCAGCTGGCGCACAAGCCTAAGCTGTGCAAATGCTCCCCTGGTCACCGCTGAGACCTGGGGCTCCAGGCTCAGCGATGAATCCAGGGTCACACCCAAGCTGCGAACCTGCGCCTTCAAGGGGAGTGCAACCCCGTCCAGCACAGGCTGTAACCCTATACCCTGTTCGGCCTTGCGACTGACCAGGAGTACCTCTGTCTTGTCTGGATTTAATTTCAGTTTGTTCGCCCTCATCCAGACCATTACAGCGGCCAGGCACCGGTTCAGGACCTCGACAGCCTCCTTAGTAGCAGGTGGAAAGGAGTGACAGAGTTGGACATCATCTGCGTACAGGTGACACCGCACCCCGAAACTCCGGATGATCTCACCCAGCGGCTTCATGTAGATGTTAAACAGCAAGGGGGACAAGATGGAACCCTGAGGAACGCCACAGATCAACGGCTGTGGCGCTGAACAGGAGTCCCCCAGCAACACCTTCTGAGTACGACCCTCCAGAAATGACCGGAGCCACTGCAACGCAGTGCCCCCAAGACCCATCTCTGCAAGGCGCCCCAGAAGAATACCGTGGTCGACG